ATTTCTCGTGTTCGTAGATCCGACGAACGTCGTGTAAAGTGCTAGTACAACACTTTAATCCACAACTATTAGCACTTAAAATTGAACACCAAGAAAAATTCTAACGAACCGACTTCTTCAACGATACATGTAAAAATCATTATGGCCGCCTTCCGGTGGAGTTCATATAGGAGGGGGTGGGACAGCCATGTCGCATAAATTCCCCTATATAATGACAGATGGATTATCATTTTAGAGATTCGTCTACATATAAAAACAATAATATTAGTATTTGGGGCTAATTTATACGGAGCTTATAAACAAAGCGTAGGAAAGCAATCTTGTGAAGAGATACAGGATCAAAATAAAGGTGTAAGTAGCTTGAGCTTTTCCTTTGACTAATAATAATTCGTTGATTTTAGGTATTGAAGTCCTAAATAATATTATCCGTATGCATTTTTTAACGACGTTTAATATTAACCAATTCAAACAGACAAATAGCAATTTACTTAGTCTCAACTTTATTGCCACATTTTTTCCCTATTTTAAAATCAACATTACTTTTGGAAGATTTTTTAAAATTTTTATAGTACAAGTATAAAATATCTTAGAGAGTGGAAATACGACCATTTTATAAGCGGATTACTTTAAAAAGTTGTCCAAATTTTCAAGATAATCAAACTTGCATCGAACCATTAATTAAATTAATATCGGAAAGATATGAAAAAATTACATTTAACGAAAATGATTTATTTAACGAATTTCTCTTACTAAAGCTATACATAACTAACGAAAAGTTGGTTCAATGGAAAAAGAGCAATACATATATAGAAGAGCGGTGGTTAGAAATATTTGACTTTTTCAAACAAGAAAATCATAGTTTTAAAAATATTTTATTCTTTGTTGAATATTATCTGAGTTTGCCTGCTACAAATGCTGGGCTGGAAAGAGTTTTTTCCCATATAAATAAAATATGGACCAATGAAAAAACACAACTTAAAGTTAAAACAGTTAAAGCGATAATTCTTACAAAACTAAATTTAAAAATAAGCTGCTTAGAAGTTTATCATAAATTGCTCGACAACGAAATACTGTTGAAGGCTATTCATTCCTCCCAGAAATATGCTTTTAAGAAAATAACTAATATTTAATTGCTATTCATTTATTTTGTAAGCTATATTTTATAATTATTATAAAATATAACATGACATAGGTTTAAGTTTAAAAATTTTGTGATATTTGATTTTGTTTTTGTAACGAATTCTGTATTTTTTGTATTCTTCTCGTTAAACGTTTAAATATTTTTTTTATAACTTAATTTTTATTTTAATAATTTTAAATTTACATTGTCAACCGGTAGTTGGTCAAGTTACCTATCTTGAAGAAATGAGAATGATGTATCTCGTAAGCAAAGAGTGGAATGCTATAGGTGTGGGCGCCAGGGACATCTCAAATGTGATTGTCGTGTCCGATCACCAGTTCCAAGAAGAAGCACACAACAGAGATCTCATCGAAATGTAAAAAAAAACAGTACTTTGGGGAATGTGTTTTTTGGTGTGAATAAGGCCGCTAGCGAACTGAAAATAAGAAGTTTCAACAGAGGTAGTGGTTCAACTATATCGGGGAAGGTCAATGGAACTCCAGCAGCAATCTCCATCGATACTGGTGCTGAGGTTTCATTTGTATGTGGAGAACTCGTGATATGTGGAGTACTCGTGATATGTGGAGAACTCGTGACATGTGGAGAACTCGTGACAGCACAGATTTCATACCCGAAACGATCAGATTAAAAACTGATTGGAGATGGTGGGGTAAGCATCCGTAGAAATCTACATTGGTCAACTGAGAAAAACACGTCGGGCTCTCGTGGCTGGCGCGGAAGATTACTTCATTTTGGATATTTTCGATTTAATTAGCCGCGATGGATTGACAGTTTAGCCAGTGATGGAAGTCCTACTTCTTGGAAATGAATAGCTCATGCCGAATCAGCATGATGCCGCTGTGTGGTGCAACACCAGCGGAGCCTGTAAGAATTATCGCTTGTCAGAACTGCAAATACTGCTACGAAGTTGATCAGCGCAAAGCACGGTTCAACCGCAGGAAAAAAGCCCTCATAGAAGATGATGAATGGACTATAGCTCGGTTTAGAAAAGACCAGTAGGAAGACGGGGATATTGGACCGCTCCTCAGATCGAAAGATGGGAAGGAACGGCCGGGATGACCGGAAATATCACACAAGCTTCTTTCAGGGCGTTATGGGCTCAGTGGGACTCCCTGCATTTTGAGAACGGATTGCTTAAGCGAGCTTGGGAAAGTCCGTATGGGAGAAATGTCACAATGCAGCTGGTTGTTCTGGCCAACAAAAACAAGGAAATACTCCCAGAAATGCACATTGGAATTTCTGGTACTCATTTTGGATTCAACAAGACGCTTTCTAAAGGTAGGGACAGATTTTACTGGGTCCCTTGTCGAGAAGACGTCGAGAGTTGTTGCAAGAAGTGTACACATATATATATATATATATATACATATATATATATAGGAGAAAGTGTCGAGCGTTTACGAAATGTTGTACCACAAGCATAGGGTGGCGAGTGATAGAATGAAGACACGTTACGACCTTAAGTACAATTTAGTAGGATTCTAGACAGAACATTTGGTATAGTTTTATAATTCCCACGGCGGCGCTCAAAGAAAGGCCTACAATTAGAGTCTACTCGAATTCATTCAAGTCGACTTCAGTTGAGTCAGAACTATTTTGTACATAATCGCTGAATAGGTAGTACATATGTTTATACATGCTTTTTATAAATGATTATAGGATGGCAGTAGGTCACGTAAACGTGTCGCCTCTCAGATTTGAATTTTACTAAATGCCCAAGGACGCATGACAAAAACCTGTATAACTGGGTGCCTAAATGTTTCATATATTATTAAAAAATAAAACTAACTCATTGCAATAAAAAGAAACAAATTTATTGTGGTTAAACATCATAATACATGTTGAAAATGTTCACCACTGTGTACAAGGCACTTGTTCAATCTCTTTTTAATTTCAAAAATGTTCTGTAACATCCTTTCGTCAATGTTTTGGACCCTTTGTTCAATTTCACGTTGCAACAGGAATTCCTGGCTGCTGAGGAAATTTTGTCAAAGATGTTTGCGGATTCTGCTCGAATCGTCTCAAATCATCAATAACTTCCTCAGATACTGAAGGTTTTTCACGAACTGCCAGTTTGAATAAATCTGTTGATTACATATCTAATGTGAGCCTCCAACGATGTTTCTTGAATTATTAAATCACGGTATTTGGCCAGATATTCGTTCTTACAAGCGGTTACAGAAAACACGCAACAATGAATATGTCTTGTTCAACAGAATAAACCATTTTCACAGTCCTCGCTTCCTAGCACAAAATCAAAATTTTAGTACGCAACCACCAAGAGTTTTAAAAACGACCCTTTTGTTGCTTTTGGCTTGGATCAATGAGAATTACTGTAATTCGCACCTGAAAAACATAATGAGGTGTAATTTCAGCGAAGCGGGATTTTTTAAATCCATAGTCAACTACGCCCTTAGAATTATTTATAAAAGCTCTGTATTAACTTATAGGTTAAATGCTTGTAATTTTATACAATTTCTAAAAAGCTGGATGTGTTTTATCTTACTTCAGAAGTGAGGTAATTTTTGTCGAAATACCTTCCGACCAATTTTTTCTTACAAAATTTGTGATGGCGTGATGAACATTTTTACAAGGACACGTATAGCAATATGGATAAGTGCAATAATAATAGCAGGGTGATTCATTTTCGGGAAAATGGAATCTTGAATCTTTCTTGATTTATAATCAATTAAATAACCAAACAATTTAATTACATATTACGTACATAATAAATAACGAAGATGCGACTGAAGAGTGAACTGAAAATGATTTATTGTACGCGTAAGTTAAGACAAATAGCGGTAACGCGTGTAGAGATTGTATACGTGAGAGTGAAACAGAGAAAGTAAACGAAAGTATCTCATCTACGAATTGCAATAACCGGATCACAATGGCGATGGTCTAGACTTTTTATTGCTTTGACTTCCGTTTTTGAAATAAAACGTTGCATTTTATTTTGATTTTGGATGTTGTATTTCACATTTGCTTAATTAAGTAGAGCTTGTCTAAGTCTAGGGGAGGGAAAAATTTTTCTAGGGCAGGCTCAGCAGCATCCCCCCCCTCATCCCCCAGCTCTGGCTTTGTCTACGGCTCATGAAAGTTCGAGAAAATATGTACCAATTGCCCGATGGACTCCATTACTATACGTCCTGAGCTTAGGCTCGATAAGTCAAACAACTTGACAGTGCTTACATCGGAAGAATGTCACGTGGAGATTAGTTTGATTTGAATGAATTCGTCGTTGTAGAGGGGATTTATTGGGTAAAATTTTAAAATGCTATGATAATTTTTTTTGGTGGGGGGGGGGACAAACAATAAGAAGAAGAATCTCTTCGACAACTTAAAAGGTCTGCAAGATTTCAGAGCATTCGGTTTTGAAGATTCAACATTAAATTGCAAAATGTTTTTATAAAATTTTGATTTCTTTCCAAAAATTTGGGTGTCCCGGGTTAAAACTCAACACGGATTTGTAAACTACACGTGTAGGAGTATCTTATCTTGCACATTTTACAACCCATTTATTATGTACAATTTTAAGGTGACGTCATCACTTTGTTGGTGGAGATGACTAGACAATATTTGGTTACCGTTTTACCAGCTACATAATAATTATAATTCAGCTATAAAAGTTGACAATGATTGGTCCGGTAACAAAATTCCACAAATACGCTGGACCAATAGACAGACACACAAACGGAAACCGAATATCTACTTTTTCGTACTCTACATATCAAAAAAATATTAAAGTAGCGAGTCGTTCGATTGACTCGACAAAATAAAATCAGGTAGAAAATAAGCAACATACAGCGTCAAAGGTTTCTTGTCAGTCACCTGGTATATAAAATTATAAAATTCTAACCAGTTGCCATCACGTAGAAATCCTTGTCCTGGTTTTTTTTAATAAGGTACTTCACAGTATACAAGTACAGCAAACCAAATGCCAGTTGAAACCCAGTAGTCAGAAGATGTGCTAGGAATGCTGCTCCGCAAACCAGCCAACCCCATCCACCTATATTTTTTTTAAATCAGTACATTTCTGAAAATAATACTTTAATTCACCTTCTGGGTAGTAGTGTTGTTTAATAGTGGCTGTATCAACATCCCTTCGTCTGAGAGCAGGAATATTCCTGTGCAAAGAATGCAGTTCACGTTCACAAATAACTGGAAACGAATCTTCATCATCTGGAGGACGAGGGGCACTTCGTTCTGAAAAGAATATTAGAAATGTAAAAAAAAATGTAGTAACAATTCTAAAATAAATGCGTCCTTATGTAGTAACATTAAAAAAGATAACTAACCGATCAGTATATTTTTAAATTTTTTCATGACATAAAAATGTTAAAAACTTTTCCTTTGAAAGGGATTGTGCCTCAGATAAATCAGTATATTGCCTGAAGTCAAAACATAGTATTCATCATTTAGGTGTTGATTACAAACTGTCGACATTTATTTTTCGTTATTTGGTAATTTATTTTTTCTACTCACTATATAGAAAATGTGATTTTCTTCCCTCATTTAAGGGCACAAAGTGTCACTTTACCTCCCGGCGGGAGGTAATAGTTATTTACGTGGCAAGCTTAGTAAATTAGCCTTTATGGGCGAGCCGGAATGTTTGCAGGGCGAGCGACGTAGGAGCGAGCCCTGTAATCCGGTGAGCCCCAGTAAAGGCTAGTTGCAAGCGAGCCGCGTACAACGTTTTACTTCCTCTTGCTGAAAATCCTGAAAATGAACAACTTTGGCATCTCTAGAAATTTTACTTGAAATTACAGTCATAGAAATTGTAGTTATTTTTCATAGTTTGCCCCGGTAACTATGGAAAATTGAATTGTTTGAAAATAACGGGACTGTCAATTTGTAAATTCGATTAATAATTTAAATAGTTTAATTTTGTTTCTGAGCTCTGTTAATTGTGGAATTCGATGAAGATGAAGAGTTTGAAGGTGATTTTAACGTTAGTATTAGCACAGTATTAGTGAGATTAAGAAAAAGGCCGACGCAGCGAATGTGTGTTTGATTCCGGTGCTGTCATGATAACGTTTTACAGGCAAGGTGCCTGTAAAGCTGCCACGGTAACGCTTTACAGGCAAGGTGCGTGTAAAGGCTAATTTACCGAGTTAGTTCAGACGACAGTAAACGAGCTTTAACAAGACAAGAGGAAGTAAACTATTTTGCCTCCCACCGGAAGCTAAAGTACATTTTTGTCAAAAATGACGTTTATAAATTTATAAACTTGCTACTTCTAAAACGTCTGGACGGGTACAATTATTATCTGAAGCACTACTTTCATCCAAATCCTCCATTTTTCCCAAAATTGACCCTTTTCCTGTAAGATCGTAAAACTTCCATAGTGACTTTCCGTGCGCACGCATCTTCAAAACTACGTATCGGGCACTCCGGCAGCAGAGCAAAGGTCTATGACAACAAACCGCTTTGACAGAATGCAACCAGCTACACATGCGTAATCTGTCGCTCATTGGTTAATTTTAACTTGGCGCTCCAAAAATCTGACTTCGCCTGCGCGATGTTGTCTCGCTCTGTATCACTGGAATTTATATAATGTCTACTCACTTTGCTTACAGGAAAAGGGTCAATTAATGCGTTTTAAGGAACACAAAACTACAATTCACGAGTTCAAATGCGATTAATTTTTTGTTTGTGTGAAAATTGTCATAGAAACTATCTAGATGACTTAGTTTATTACGGTAATAGTTTTTTCATTTAAACTTTTATAAAATAGATTTTAAACGTTCGTTCGTTGAAAAAATTATATATATATATATATCACTTGAGCAAAGTGCCATTTCCTCCCTCGGATTTTTAACGCCCTCCGCTACGCGTCGGGCCCCAACCTGAATCCGCGGAAGGTAATGTTTCACTTTGAATATATGCAAATATTTTAACCACGGCATCCCCCACTCTAGTAGAGTCGAAATATGGAAAAAACAAATTAAAAATCGAATGGGCCAAAACCCCCATGAACCACCCTCGATACGAAGGCACTGAGCCACCTTTTAAACAGAGTTGGAAAAACGTTCGAATAAAAACGACGTAAACACTTTCAGTTTCAATTAAAAGTAAAACCGACTTTTTGCTGCTTATGATTTCATCATTCATGCATTCATTCATCGTGAAAGGTCAGTGCGAAAGATTATTCGTTCGAGGACAAATGGTGGTCCTAAAAAGGACCGATTTTTGGCAATGCTGCAGGGGGACTGTTGCTTCTGACGGATGTTTGGTCTTTGCCACAACGATTCCGCGTGGTTTATTGCAACAAAAATAAGAGCGAACTAGAATACTACTACGTTTTTACAATAAATGTTGAAAATGTCGTCCTTGACTCGCAATACAGGCTTCAGCACGGCGCAACATGTTTTCACGGACAAGTAAAAAAACTCCTGGTAACAACCATTCGCAGTAGGTTACACGACGTGGAAAATCAGCGGGCTCCAATGCTTGCACTTTTTGAACGTGGTATGGATGTAGGCCTTGTTCTTTTAATGTACGATGCACTACAAATTCTGAAACTCCAACTTCAGCTGCAAGTTGGCGAATGCAGATCTCGGGCTCTTCTTCGACGCGTTCCAAAATGTGTTCTTCCGCCTGCAGTATTCTTTCGGTCCTACCACGGCCACGCTCGTGGGTTTGAGGCTCGAAGGTACCATGATCTCGGAGATGCTGTACCACTGACGTAAATGTTCCCGCACACGGAATCGCGCGATTTGGAAAACGTTCGATCCACAATTCGCGGGTCAAGCTTGAGTTCCTATCCGCCACCCCATACAGCATTACCATGTCGACACGCTCTGAATTTGTAAAATTCATCATTGTCACACACCACCGAACACACCCAGCTACGGCAAGTACACGACTGTACTTATCGTCTTTTTGCAGGTTTTGCACTAGTTTTTTGGTTCTTAAACTTCGTCGCTCTGTGCCATTCATTGTAGTAATTATGCAGGTCAAGAAACACTACCAGCGGCGTGTGTAACAATTTATATGTAATTTCAAATAGCTTTTTCTCGACACTGCTACCACTTAGGACCGTGAATTTTATACAGTGACATACTAGTATCGTGAGCTATTCCCCATTTCGCAGCCAGGTTGTATACATACTTTAGAATCACCGGAAACACTTTTTGTTAGAATATTTCGAAAAATATTTAAAAATAAATTGCTACCAAAATACTTAGTAATTAAATAGTCGATTATTACTATTTTTTAATTTGTTCTGTTTATATTAATTTTTGGGATAAGAATATTAACTTTAAAAATGTGATTTATGTGTTAGTGAGATGTAATTAAACACGTTGCAATGTGATTTATGTATTTTTTGTAATAAAACGTAAGATCGGGAAACCTGTTTTTGTAATTTGTAACTAAATTTAGTTCGGTTATTACGCTTTATTTTTATTTTTGGAGCATATGCAACTGCATATCTCTGCATATATTAAGAAAGTTACTGCATATTTGAATAAATTTGATGCATATCATATGATCATATTTCCCAAAATTTTGCTGCATATTTTCCGCTCTCTATTTCTAGGTTTTAAAAAAAGAAATTGTCTAAGTTTAAAGGTGCCTCAAAACGTAGAATACGCACGAAAGAAAGTGTTAAATCCTTTTAGCATTTACGAATATTTCAACCTTTTAGAAAAAACTATTAATAAGCAAAGAGAAAAAGTATCTGAAATTTGAATCAGAGCAGTCCCCGAAGGACTAAAGTAGTCGGAGCCGTGTTAACGGTGGTCGTTCAACACACGTCTATTTGCCAGTTATTGAAAGGGCCATGCAGGAAAATGTGATAATTATAATATTAGGAGTATTAAGCTTCCTCCACATACCAGTCACGCACTCCAGCCGCTAGACCTAGCAGTGTTTAAGTCTTTCAAAACCACATGGGATCAGAAACTTATTGCATGGCAATGTCAACATGTGGGTCGTAAACTACCAAAAAAAATATTTTCACAATTTCTAGGCGAAACGTGGCCGCAAATATCCGCTGAGGTTATTCAAAATGAATTCAGAAAAGCTGGAATTGTACCAGTAAACAAAGATATCATTCCAGAGGATCAGTTTTCACCTGGAACATTGCAAAGATGGATTGATCATCTTGCCAACAATGGAAGCACATCACAAACAGTGGCAAATATACTAGAACGTAATAATTTCGGAGGCTTCCACGGTCGAAATCAATACATGATCGTTTTCCGGGTTGGAAGCGTGTTAATTGAGTTTTTGGGCTCAACGTTTCGCACACTTTCGTAAGTGGCATCTTAAACAGGGTTAAGAATAAGGCAAAAGAGCACGGTAACTCAGTATGTCAACCATACCAGAGGCGAAACTCTTCTGGCAGGAAGAATGTGGTTGTGACCTATTTATAGAGAAGTGGCTTCCAAATGTTTGACAGATAGTAACCATTGTCTCGTTTGAGGTTATGAGGACATTTATGGATTTCAATAGCTTCACGGATTTTCCGGTGCTTTGGACAGAACTTGGGAATTTTTTCAAACAGGATGGTGTGACCGGTTTCATGTTGGTGTTGAGCTACAGCAGAGTGAGTCAGAAGACCTGCTCTGTTTACTTGATGTTATGGTAACCAGGTTACCCGAAGCTCCATTTGGTCATTCAGTCTATCGAAAACCTACCCATACCGATCGATATTTTCACGCTACGTCTCATCACCACCCCGTCCAAAAACGGTCTGCCACTGACTCATTGAATTAAAAAAAATCATTACTTTTTTGTATGTTTAAATAATTCATTGTCCGTCACACAGTTGTTCACATTGTTCTAAGAAGAATACCATTTTTTGCAATTGTTTTACAAGCATCAATTATTTTATAGAAGCAGTTAAAGTTGAATTATTGCAAAACTATATTACCTTTACGTCACTTCACCTTATATCAACGTGGATTGGTGCAGTGTAATACTAAAAATAATAGCATTGTATTCCAAAAATTTTCTGGGGAAAATGGAATGAGCTGTTCCTGATTTAATAAATAAAATAAATTTACCGATTAATTAGTTTTTGAGCCACCTGTATAAGCAAATTTAAAAAATATGACTGTAATGATAAATCATAAGTAAAAACCCGTCATTCGGCAAAATTTTGAGATGATGTCAACAATTTTTTTGGGGGACTGAAATATTTTGATTAACAATTTACCACGCTTACAATAATTTTAAAACGTCTGATTTCAAAGTAT